GCAATAAGGCACTTTTTAAGGTCACTTTCATTTTGAGCAATCGGTAAAGGGATTCGAAGGTCAACCCCACCAGAAGACAATGACCGGCCTCTCTTAGCCATGTTAGAGCATTCTGGTTGACGCTGTGCCTTTCGATTCTGGTGAAAGCTTGCTAAACTTTCCTTCATCATATGAGATGCATCATCAGAACAGAGCAGCAATTAAGTGAGTGAGAGAAAACTCACCTCGTCTCTACATGCTGCATATGTATATTCGCTAGCTTAAATATGATTGTAAGAATGTTATTCGGCCATGATGATGTCCGTTATGTGAAAGAATAAAGCATAGCACAGAAATGAAGAGAAGCTGGATTTCAAAGAGTCCCTTAAAAGCTTTCGCTTGAAAATGCCATTGGAGGGGATTTGTAAACTGACAGCACCAGATATCGAAGCAAAACTTCCTTGGACTTGTAATTGCTAGATTGTGCGAAGAAGATACCGGTTCATCGTCCTACAACATCGATGTGTTTGATCATTGTTTCCAAATGATGTTTTCTTGATTTGAAGATGTCCGTCACATGACGGATGTATTCATCGGGGCCAGGAGCTGCGTGCAATCAGTCACACTTATAATGCTATCCCACTTTGGTATTCAGTGAGACCAATTTACGAAACCCTCCCACCGGCCTTTTCAAGCGAATGGAAGGCATGTTGACATTAGCACGTTTTTACCTGAATCGGAGGAGATCTCCTCGAGGACAAGGCCAGGATGTTCAAGTAAAGCCGACTTATTCGCATAGATCATTTGTAGCCCTCACGCCTGCTTCCTCTCTGATTTAAATGCCTCTAAATCGCAGTCCATACTCTCCCCATTGTTTCGAAATCGGCAACCACCGATAAACCACTCGAGGGTCTTGACAGAGGCAATATAAACTAATCTCGCTTAGAGCATACCTTGCCAAATAGAATGCCACAGAAATATGTCTTGTTTGTCTTTTACCGAAACCTTATCTCCGGCCTAGTTTCCTATGATACCTGATCCTACAGCTATCGAGTACGCCAGACTGCTAGATTTAATTAAAAATAGTGCAGGGTGCCAAATTCAATGTTGGGCTTTCACGATCACAGTGCCAAACAAAACTGCTTAGGCCTAAGTGCCGCAGTGACCATGGCCGTTTGCGTACATACCTCGCAAACCAGCTTAGATGGTCAGCTGGGTCAACTTTCTAAACAATTTCATGGTGCATCTTGCATGCCTTGCTGTCAGTCAGAGTTCTTTATGCTTGGCATTAAGCACCAAACTTGCTGGCTCCGGATAGCAACTTTTAGCTGCCACTTCAGTTTGTCTAAACCGAAAGGCAGTACACTATCAGTATCCACCACCTCGGCCTTGTATAATCTCATGCGGACACCCCATTTTATCTTATGCATCCTAACCAATTTCAAATTCATAAACCACGATAGAGCATGGCTAGACTCATTTCCTCACCACAACGGCATATTTTGTGCAGGCAAGTCTACAACCAGGAATTCGCGAGGTCATTCATATACTTTAAATCCTACTGCCCAGCCAGATTCTTTGACGGGCTAATATTTTTATTTTTGACACCGTGAATAATCTTCAGAATGGCCGGGGAGCTTTTTCACCAACTTGGGTAAGCTCGATGACATTATTGTCATTAAGCTGAATGATCTATCTTATCCTTGAGCATCTTCGTTGTTTGCTTCTCATTGCTTGGTCATTGATTAAATAGTCAACAAGATAGAACGTCTGTCCGATGCCCGAAACTGCATGACTGTTGCAAGCATGTAATCGAACCAGCCCTAGTTAGCCGGTTTTAGTGTATGAAGGACTCTCCGTTGCATCCTATATTTATTCCATATAGGCTCTGCGCAGTTAATTATGGAAGATTAATTCGTCTACCGGGTGACGTCTGGGTCATAGTGTCTGCTAATTATTGCGGCCGCATATGATATTAATTCAACCAACACAAAGCCTGCTTAATAGGTAAGGTGTATATTAGCAGATTTATCTGGCCTATTATGTAGGATGAGGGAAAATTCTGTCGTAGTTTGATTCAATTTAGTCGCATTGGTTATTAAAATATTAATGGTTAAGTTTCACGACAATTATACAAACACTCTTTGCAATTCCATTGAATTTCACTTGTTTCTCAAAACGTATTCTAATCCCGGCCGATTCTCATTTTCGACCTCTCTCGGGTGTCACCAGCACCTCCAAAAGGAATCGAACCCGGCTAGTGCCGAGTATACTTTCAGCATATTAACATTACGCCCATTGCCATGAGTGCTCGTGGGTCATGGGGCAATCGTGAATCCCAGTGAACTTTTTTTCAAGATATACTTAGTCTTGAATCCTTCCTATGAGTATAAGTAATCGGAGTGGCACGATAGAAGCTTGTGTCATTGGCGCCAGCATTATGGAAGGAGCCCGACATACCTTGAAATTTTCTTCCGCCATGGTTCGACAATCGTGGTCACGTGACATAATGGTAAGATGTTGAAATTGTGCTTTGCGCTACCTGGGTTCTATAACCGTTGGTGATGCTGACAACCAGACGAAGTCGAACCCGCAATCTAGCCTGAATGAGAATACCTTCTGGGAAGCAAGGCCAGACGAAATTGAGTGGTGTCGCAGGGCCTACTGATATCATCTATGGCAAACTCAAATCACATTTGGCCTAAGGCAAGCTATCTATGCTTTTGAGACCTACTTCATATAAATATAATCTCCTGAGTCGAATGACAGTACAATCGGACCCAAATGAGCTATTTTCCTTCTGGCAAATAAGGCTTTTTATCGTAGGGTTATCACCGGTTGGCTGTAAGGAAGTAGGTTATCATTAGAATCCCGAACCCATGATGATTTGAGGCCGTGCCCCTCTCAGGCTGATGCACTCTAGACATCGAGAAAAATCTACCCTACCTTTTGATATCTGCAATCGACCCTGTCTATTTGGATGCAAGTATTAAGGGACATCGACTTCGGTGGTGATCATTTTCACGTTAACATAAATCAATCGGTTATCTACTAGTTTGTTTTTCCTTACTCCAGCTGGCCTCCTGCAAATTTACGCTCGAACCCCACGCTATGCATCCCACTCGATCCGCCTCGCTTCATTTCAACTTTCCTCCGCTTCACCTACCGATGAACCGTCCAAGGCTGGCAGCCTTGGTTCCCCCAGTGCCTCATCTCTCCTGCACCATCCTCCTCAGACGGCACCATCGGCCGCTTTTCCGATTATTAATCGTCAGCCCCTTTCACCCGATCTCAGCCCCACAAGTCCACTTCTCGTCTTCCCAAATGAACAGCCAAACCCTTGCACCGGGCTATCCACTTCCTGCCCTCCGGGTTTTCTTGAGATCTCTGCACCTTCTCCACCTCCCGGATCACAAGCACCGGCGCCGAGACCATCTGTGGAAACGATGGCACCACTTTGTTGCCGCGGGGAAGTCTATCCATCAGCGCACGAACTTGCTTTAGCTGGCTTTTTTTCGACCGGTCGAGGTGACGAAACTGTCTGTCCGGCCTGCGGCCTCGGTTTGAGAGATTGGCAGCCAACTGACCAGCCTGTGGCTTGTCACGCCGCTTATGCTATGGCAGCCGGGTTCAGTACGGCCACACTTGCCGGCGCACCCAGTCTACCCTGCCTATATATTGCTGTGCACCGGTTACTCACCTCGGAACTGCCTTTAACCCGCAAGCAACTGATCACAGTATCGGAGGGAATTGTAACAAACGACCCCCCTCGCTCTAGGATCCAAGGCTGGCGAGGGCGCACTGAGTCACTCGCGAGCCACATGTTGCCAGGCGTTATTGACCAACCAACTAGTTGGTTAGCTGATGATAATTGGAACCTAGTGACGGCGCTATCGTGTGGGCGAAGGGCACGAAGACAGCGAACCACTTCGTGTGGCCTACCAGACGATGCTGATGAACAGGGTGGGGAGGTGGGAGATAATGATGAAGGGTATCCATCACTAGCCGATCGACTACGCGCCATCTATAAATTAGTAGGCAGTGTCGGACAATCGGCAGGACCACAGATATGGCCAGTGCAAAACGCCCGATCTCTGGGCCATAGCGACGATCTAATTGTACTTGCTCTCTGGCGAATGCAACAGGATGCCGCCAAATCGCCCGTCTCCTTCCCACCTGC